TTGATGCAAAATTGAAGTAAAAGCAATCTATGCATTCTATAACCCAAATTTTAAGTATCAATGATACACCAAACTACAAGGAATGAAAAGCACTTTTAAAAGACATATGATATATAAGATATACTTCAAATAGCAAGTATAATCAGCTAGGAAAACCAGGCAATTTTTAAAATAAAATTACAATTATATGCACAATACAAAACTGTAGAGCGACACCTATAGGTAATTATATATAGAAGTACGACAGGGAATCAGTTTAGCTAAAATAGTCTGGATTCTGACGCCTATGGATGCAAGGACAGTTCTATGCACAAATTTATTGTTGCATACACCTTCTTTGCATACAAATTAATTAAAACAAAATAAAATAGATGATTGAGGTCAAAAAGGTTAATCTATTTGGATAGGTATGAAATAAGACAAGAATATCATTCACTTGACCTGACAAGTCAGTAAAAATTCATAGAATAAAAAGTTGATGACCCAACCCCCAAACTTATACGTGCATTTTTCATGTCCGAAGGCCATTTCTAAGAGAAAGTGATGATGACATTCGAAAGAAGCCCTTTCCCTGGTTGATGATTTTGAAAAACTTTACATACTTAATAGTTTCACACTGTTCAAAAAAGTTGTAATCCAATCAGTTTTTGAGATATATTACTTGCATTAAACCAACGTGTCTGCCGCTATAAGCAGCTAGCTCTGCTTCCTAGCCTACTATTGGTATTTCACCGGAAAGACCAAATTGACAAATATTCCATATCTTAATTGTTACACAGTAATAACTCTAAAAGTCACACCTTACCTTTAAATTAAGAAATTTTACAGTGGGCAATATACAAAATTGTCCTTTTCTATCTATCTATCTATCTATCTATCTATCTATCTATCTATCTATCTATCTATCTATCTATCTATCTATCTATCTATCTATCTGTCTGTCTGTCTGTCTGTCTGTCTGTCTGTCTGTCTGTCTGTCTGTCCGTCCGTCCGTCCATACATACATACATACATACATACATACATACATACATACATACATACATACATACATACATACATACATACATACATACAGACACTCATACATAAATACATGCATACATACATACATACATGCATGCATACATACATACATACATACATACATACATACATACATACATACATACATACATACATACATACATACATACGTACGTACGTACGTACGTACGTACGTACGGACGGACGTGCGTGCGTGCGTGCGTGCGTGCGTGCATGCATGCATACATACATACATACATACATACATACATACATACATACATACATGCATACATGCATACATACATGCATATATACACCGTAAGTGATTATAAATCCTACAAGGGAGCAGTATTGCCTCTCATCGGAGTGAGAGAATGTTTCATGTTTGCATTCGTTTTGCCTTACGAAAACTCTTGATCGATTATTTTGGTCCTGCTGCCCTACGAAATCTCTTGTCCCCATTGTAAAGTTTTAGTTATCATGACGTTTAAATTTATCTTCATGAGATTTCTTCAATAATGATCGGTTATTTTGGTCCTGTTGCATCCCCACCCCCATACAATTACGTTATCATTTCTTGCTTTCATCTACGTAAACAAAAAGGTAAATAACTTAGCCCGTGTCATGAACCAACAAGTGTAACATCTCCGTCAGCCTAAAGATTGGAAAGATCTGAATAACGTACCTAAAAACGACATTATTAAGGTGAGTGAGATTTTTCTATTTAATAAACGTTTATTTCTCTAGTGAATTACTTGGAATTGACCAAAAGCTTTCCTCCACACATTAAATTAAAGTTTTTGCATAAATCCCTGTTTCTTTGTACTGCCCCTACCGATATGAATAACAAAAAGCTTTAATGTCATAAAAATGCACTGAACGTAGTCAATTTATTCATTGATTTATAATTTTTAACCTGATTATGACCAAGGAAGCGCGAACACTGTCATCTTATTTAACGGAATTTATATATTTACTCGACGGCCACATCGCGTACAATATGGGCGAGTATATATTGCTCAGACTAAAGAATGACGCAGTTGCAGAAGACAGGGTGGTCATGCCACTTTCTAGAAAACTCCTTTATTGAAAATAAAACTTCCTACAAAAATGAAATAACTCCAAACTGAAGTCTCTGACCGACTGAGACTCTCTTTATTTGGGTTATCTCCTTTTGTTACTTTAACTTTGACATTTATGTTTTCGGTTTGTATGCGTTTTCGTTTTGTAAATAACCGACAGATACTCTCTTTAATTGGGTTAGCTAAATTTTTTTTTACTTTACCTTTGACGTTTGTGTTTTCGTTTATGTACCCCGCCACTCATTTGAGATCGTCACCCTCTCCACTGCTGTCTCTCAGACAAGCAATTTTTCGAGACGTTTGCGATATCGTGAGCGAGGATCGTGTAAAATTATCGTGATAAATCCACGTGTGAGAAGAAGTTTCTGAATTTAATTATATCAATGTCCCCTGAACACCAAGTCTAATGATTGTTTCACAGATAATATGAATAGATTCCATTAAGCACAGCTAAAATATTGCAGTTATCTCTGCTCACTTTAGATATTTGTCTATATCCTTGAGTAACATAAAACACGTCCGATTTTTTTTTGTCTGCTCGGCAAAATATCATAGCGGGATTTGATTGGCTTGCATCACATCATCGTATTCTACAAAATTATTAATAAATCCATCGAGGTCATCTACAGATGGGGTTTAATCAATATCGGCAACAAAATCAATAATATCGTTGCCGTCTTAATTAAATAATTTTGCATTTTCATTAAAATCTTTAAGCATATCGTAGCACTGTTGATCATCTACAGATGGTGCCACTAAATACAGCTTATCCCACTCCAACCATCTCATTACCACACTACAGAACAATAGCGTCTTACCAGACCCAGATGGATCTATGATAATTGCTCTGATAAAATTTGGTAGCACTGAGTGATGCTTGACTGGCTCTTGTTTTCGCGTTGCTGAGAAATCAATGATATCCGTGTTATACAAATGTAATAAATAATATGAATTGATAAAGTAATTGTTGCAAAGCATCCACCCATCCACCTCACCCCACCCCATGCCACCTACACCCTACACCGCCCCATCCCAATCGATTAATAACAATAACCACGATGAATAAAAAGCGTGCATTTACAGGCAAGTGTGTGAAATGTTGTACAACTCAATATAGATTTATCTCTGTTAAAACAGGTGGAGAAATCTCTTCTTAATTGGGAAAATTACCAGGAGCTCCATGTGCTAAGTATCCTGGTGAGAAACATCTTTCTGGATATAATTAGTGTGGTCCTGGAACCCGACTTTATATCCGACCTGACGAAAGAGACAAACCAAGACCTGGAGAGTATCCAATAAATGCGATTGATCAAGCATGCCACTTTCATGATGTTGCTTATCAAAATAATGAATAACAACAACGACATATTGCAGACGTAAAATTGATTTACTCGTAAAATACCATAAAAAATAAATCTGTTACAGAAATCGTTGTAGTTCACAGTTGACCTAATTTAGTTCCGTCCGACAAGTAAGCATTATTTCAGCTTATAAGTTTTTCTTTCGTTTTTGTATCAGTAATTATAAAATTGAGCTCGGCATCGTCGATGATTAGTCGACAACAATGTCGTTTATGATCATATGAACTACCTCAGATAAACTTACCGATTATCCTTTGCAAGTTTATTTGTATATTTAATTTCATCGGAATTACTGACATCGTCAATGACACATTCATCGGGTGTTCGCAACCAGACTTGCTTTTGTGAAAGATATGATATTATTGCTTCACGTACAGTTAACGACGCTAAAATTCCGGCAGCAAGCTTATATCGTAATAGCACTAATGGAGCCCGATATTTTTCTGAAAAATGACGATGAAACTAAATGTAATCAATCAGATGGAGATTACGTGTAAACTTGAATGACTCAATACATTCAAATCCAGTTAAATCAGAATCTGGTAAGGGTCAGTTTATCACACCTCTGGTCATCTCGTAGGTTGGATGTCAAAATCGCTTAAAATATTGTGAACACTCACCCATTCCAAGAAAACTTCTAGGATAGCATGCAACAATATCAACCGAAATAACGTCGCTACACTCGTATTTAGTGTTCCACAATCCACCGTGTCCGTATTTGACACAGCTTAGCTGCACGTCTTTGAGAAATTCCTTGCAAAAAGTCTGCAGCGACTGACAGAACGGTAAAACAATTACCGTGTAATCGTTCGATAACATGAGTATCGTTTGTGCATTTCAACGCAAGATTTTTCATTTCGACGTAGAAATATTCTGCACGATAAATATTTTCGTTAAGTCGTACAAACTGATCGTAGTACTTTGATACTGAACTTTGAAATAATTATACAGATACAAGGTCACTATTACCGATATTTCTGATAAAATCCAACATATAACCGTCATAAAGATGAAGAGTTCGATTTCGTGGAAATATTGCTACGACATTCATCCACGCGTGTTAGTTATGATCAATAATGTTTATCGGAGTTCCATACGATTTATATTTTGATTTGCATAAAGCATCACCGTTAAAGTCTTCACTGTTATTGAGAATTCTATTTTCCCCAGTTGAGCACCGTCTGTATACTGTAAATATGTGTGTAAATATTTCGAATTGACCACTGAACCTGCTGGAATGACATTTGGCATTCTAATGGTTCACTTGGGAGTTGTGCCATCGATATAATTAAGATAATATATACTGTAATTATGTGTTGTGTAAATATTTTTATGTAAATAATTATTATTGTATAATGAATTTCGAAAATATTAATTTTATTATTTCTGCGATTGAACAAGCACAACATGACGGTATAAAAATTCTGATCAACTTAATCCTGGAAAAATTATTTATTATTTTTAATCATCGCAACAACTAAGATCGGAAGATAGATACACAATACCAGCCAAATATCAACTGCTCCGAGGGCCTAGTGGTTAGAGCGTCCACCTCGGATTCGGGAGGTCGTGGGTTCAATCCCCGGGCGAGTCATACCAAAGATATACAAAAAATGTTACTAACAGCTGCCTCGCTTGACGCTCAGCATCAAAAGGTTAGTGTTAGGACTGGTCGGACTGGTGTCAGGATAATGAACTGGTTGTGACATCATGCTATATGTCTGCGGCATGATGCCCCAGTGCTAGACATCACTATAAACTGCCTAACTGCATACATCGTAGCGATATGACTGACAAATTGTTAAAGCTACGTTAAAAATCATAATCACATCACATCACATCTAGCCGAAATCCGTTTATTAAATTAATTCAGCAGTCAATGATACAGTCCTTGGCTACCATTGATAACACACAAGTTAAACAATTCGTTGCACTCGTTTACGCGATTGAGAAAATTAGATCAGAATTATCTCACGAATACAAAACATAAATATTGTGAATGCTAGTGTAAGACAGTTGAGAAAGATTATGTTTAATTGTGAAACAATCCATTTTAAAAGCGGTGAAATCGTCACTAGTGATTTTGAAAGTAAAGGTAATGGTAACAGCTAAACAAAGTGAAAGTAGTAACGGATTCTAAAAGTGAAACCGGTGACAACGTCAATAGCGAAGTCATCTCTATCACACACAATAGTAATAATATAGTATCGCTGCAGATCATGAAACTATTCCTGCGTTAACAAAATAATTTCATCGCTGTATTCATCAATAATTATATTAACACTAAATTTTTCTGTGTGTTTAAGTGTCAAGATTGTTCCGACGGCACTTTCACGTACCTTTTTTTGTATATAAAACTTCTCACGTGTTCGAATATGCATAATACCACATAATTAATTGGTTGTCAAAACCTCGAATAATATTTTATTTTATTTTACAAACTCCTGACCTTGGTGTTTTAAAACGTTGCAGATCTTACAAACGCACATATAGAATTATATTCAGAAATTCTCCTCGTACATCAAGAAGGTATCTGGTTTAGTCAGCAAGTTTGAAATATATCCGTGATAATAATAAGTGGAAGGACATGAATTTCCATCGAGATTTAGTGATACCGGTTTCAACACAGTTTAGTTGTTTTGGTAATTGGTCACGCACAAAAACACATCTGAATTTTTTTTTATATTTAATCGCTTAGTAGCGTCAAGTAAATCAAAATTAGACACGGGAAGCTCGAAACGAAAAGCGTTCAACGAAGTGTCCTGGGAACTCTTAGACCCGATTCGCTAGTATATTGAACGTACCACGAATGGAAGTTTTTGGCAGTTTTCGACTTTCCCTGTTGACTTTTTGGAAGTTTTTATTCATTGTCCGATTGCTTTCTTTAGCGCCATCCCAGCGGCATTAACAATAGTATCAAGTGCAACTGCTTTTGCAACAGTTGGTTCTGCAACGGCTATCGACACTTGCATCCTGCAAGAAGTGGAATATTCCACTCGTCTTGACTGCATATTTAATGGCATCCGCAGAAATATCAAGCAAAACACCAGTCGCCAATATTTGTCGTCATTGAAGTGCCAGCGTTGACGTTCAGTCAGTGATAGTTTACCTGAAGTCTATTTATCCCTAAAGAAACTTCACTAACATCTTGCGTGTCAAATACCATTAGATTTCGTGTTTATGTGTTTTCCCGTACATTTTCCTGAAATGCGATGAATATATGTCACGGTGCAGAAACACCCTGCTGTGATGCTCTCTGCCATGTGAATAAACCAACTTCACTTGAAATACTGTCTGTGGTCATCGTCAAGGATGACAATGTCGTTTTACCACCTTGAGCAATGAAAGATGGTAACCATTGTTCTTCGGCGATCGATGGAGTCATTATTGACATTCACAACGAACGTTTTGTTAGTACTATTGTTAACAAAATCAGGTCGATCTTCAACTCCGTACCCTCTGCCATCTTCTTGGAAAAGTATACTTTCAATCACATTGTATGCCTCAGCGGGTAAGAAATATTTGTTTGTATCCTGAACTTGAGATTCGATTCTCTCACATGCATATGGCTCATGTGCGTCATAACGATAATATTGATAATTACACACAGAGAGCTGGCTCATCCATATCAAATGCAGGATAAGATACACGTTTGAACATTTTATGACTTTTGTTATCGTCTAATACGAAGACCATTCCCACTATGAGACAAGCAGTTATATTTTTTTCTTATTCTTACAGGGTTACACAGCCAAATATGCTAGTGTTTTTATCTACATCTTAATTATTTATTGCGCAATACAAACACGTGAAAACAATATTCGATTCATTGGTCCATGTGGAGTGCTTGTGTATTAGTCGAAAAGTAATATGGAATTCTTCAGCTTTAAGATTACCCCAAGCCTAACAAAATCTTATTCGACTCATATCCAGTCCCATGAATTGATGATCTATTTGAGAAGATTGCTTACGGTGGACATGTGAGTCAGGCAAAATGGAGACCAAAGTCTGCATTTGTTAACCCATTCGGACTTTATGAATTTAATGTCACACCCCTTAGTATGAAATGGCACCCTACAGTTTCGCCCGCTGTATCGACTTACTGTTGTAGGGAGTATATAATGTCGCAGCAGACTTTGACAATATCAGTGTAACAAGCAAAACTTGGGTGGAATATACGGGGGATCTGTGCGCTTTATTTTACAATGTATACGTGAAAATAGCTTCACAGTAAAACCATTAAAGTGAGAGTTTGAGATGATGAGATCAAATGCATTGTACATGTCATCGGCGGACGAAAACTTAAGACAGGCAACTTAAAAAATAAAGCAATTTTTCACTACCCACTTCCCTTGATAAAAAAGGGATATATGCACTTATTTATATTAACAGTTGGATTCTAGCTCATTAATGAATGCACAGAACTAGCAGTAATACTAACCTCCATGACGCAAAAATGACGAACAAATCCTTTTGTATGGACTAACGACGCTGTCAGATCTTTGAAAATGCCGAAGAATGCTTTACTAAGATGCCTGTTCTTATGGCAATAGTTTTGTCAGCGAATTCGTGTTGCAGTCGGTTGTTATTGGTGCATTATAGTCAGCATCTTCTTTCTCTATAGCAAAGGGATCCAGCCATCGAGAAAAAGTGCCGTGCGATTATTTGGGCAATTGATTCATTTAGGTGTCACTTGTTCCTAGGTGTGGACAAAAGAATCGATAAATCATTGCTTCGATACTTTTCCATATGCATACCTATATTGACCCAAAGCTATGATACAAGTTACTTTAATCTTTAGCAGCATTCAATAAGCATTAGTTGTTTGCCTTTTTTGAAATGCGAAATGACAGCAGTGGCAGGAAACATGCAGTCATTTATATTAGCAAAAGAAGAACAATTATTTTTTTAAAAAAAACCTTCTAAAATCATCTTCAAATCAAGAAACACAAGGTAGCTAACACGCGTGCTTTGAAATATGCCTACACGTCCCAACCCGCCAATTTCATGTAGATTATTGCATTCCAACAGCATACTCAGCACCATCAGCGAAAGGAACACGTCAAGAAAAACTTGCACTTAGGAGAAGCACTGAGCCCAAGGCGGTTGCCTAATATATATATATATATATATATATATATATATATATATATATATATATACAGATACAATATGAATTTCAGCTTAAAATTATCTAATTCTTTTTAGATTAATGGATCTTTTATTGATTGTTAACTTTTTGATTTTGTATTGATTGTAATTTTTATAACGGTATAATTTTCAGATTTAAAAAATGTATTAGTGTAGAATTTTGCATTTTAAATAAACGCATTCAAACTGTGGATAAATGAATTTTGCAATCTTTATTTTACAATAATTTTTTTATAAATTGCATCATTTAGGATTTTATTGTTTTATTTTCTGATTTGCATAATTTTCACTATCGGAACATGTAATATTTTTCAAAATTTGATTTATTTCCCTAAATTATAATTTTGGACTTTTTCCAATTTTGATTTTGCAGCTGTATAATATATAGAATTTTGTTTTACAAAAATTAATTTGGATTTTATCACCTTTTTACGTTTATTTCATTTTAATTCTTATTAATTTCATTATTAAACTATTTATTGTAAATTTTAACTTTGCTGTTTGTTATAGAATTCAAATTTGGCATCTTATATATGACATATTTGGAAAAGTTATATTTTTCACTTCAGAAAATTTAATATAATTTTAATCTTTGGATAATTTTATAATTTTAATCTCGAATATTTTTTCGATTTCATAATTTTTTAGTTTTATAATTTTATATATTTTTTTTTTCCTTTTGATTATTTAAGATACATATACCCGAATTATTGTCACACTTTCTGATCAGAGCGTGTGCAATATGCTGAATAGTTTGTTAAATCGGAAGTTGAGTGGTTTCTGGCCATTATATGAACTGGGAGCCCGACTTATTTTGAAAGCAGCTCCAGTGATATATATATATATATATATATATATATATATATATATATATATATATATATATATATATATATATATATATATATATATATATATATATATATATATATATATATATAATATATATATATATATATATATATATATATATATATATATATATATATATATATATATATATATATATATATATATATATATATATATATATTGAAATTCTTCATATAGTTTGTAAAGATATAACGTTTTAGTTTTCCCTTTGTAGAAGTAACATAAGTACCATTAGAAAAGAGATTTTTTTATCTCGGCACTTCCCACTTGTGTATCCATTTAAAACACTCTACTGGCTTGTAATTGATTGCCTTGATTTCTGTCCGACTATTTCTTGCGAATTTCAACATATATGGTCAAAGGTTTCACACATTGCCCATTCCTTACATACAAACTATTCTTCACAACTGAGTTCCATCTCAAGATCTCAAGAATCCATAAGATCATGGGGTCGTATTGGTATTTTACAGAAGGAATTATTCCATGTGCCAGCATTGTTAGGTGACATCCACCTGAGAACAAATTAAATCACCCTGAGACTTTCTGCTACATTCAACATTCTGAATGATC